TAACTTTTGATTTTAAATAACACCAGTGTGATGTTACGTTAACCTCGGTTTAATTGATGAGTATGTTTATATAATTTATATTTAATTTATTATTTAACACTTAAATGAGTTCTCGTATGTTAAAAACTATTGTGTAATATTATGTTGTAGAAATTTCACTTGAAAAGGACCACAACCAAATGGTCGAAACGTCGTGAAATAATTAAATAAAATTTGCTAGTTACGTCGAAGTCAAGTTTTCTAAGCTTAAATTTATAAACTTTAAATTAAATATAATATATATGTATATATGCTATATATAAATTATATATACTTTATGTATAAATATCTTATATATATGTGTGTGTAAAATATATATAACTTATTGTTCGCACCCTTTGTCGCACACGATAATTTAGACACACCGTATCGGTGTTGACCTTGATGGTCGACGGAGGAGTTATCGCTTCTCAGCGACAGGGAAAGGCGGTGATAACTCGAAGGACCAAGAATAGAAAAAGGAGAGCGTGGGTCGATTGGTACTCGACGCTTTCGCGCCGATAAGGAGGAGTGAAGTCAGTGGCTGGCAAGGCCGAGAATGAAGTTAATAGTTCTTTGTTGATTAACACACTCGGTTTAAGTTTAAACAATAAACTTTGTACTCAATAGATAAACAGATATAATCGAAGACCCGGAGCAAGATCAAGAGTATAGTCGGAATTGAGTTGCTCGAACGCACTCGCCTGCGACCTTACTGTTCGAGCTTCGTCGATTGTCTGAAAAATATTGAAAATTCGCTCGGTGGCGCGAGGCCCGATCACACTCCGATCAGGCCCGTTCGTAGGACGGAGCAGGTGACTCGCACGAGTGTCAACCGTGATCGCGACGTGGTCGTGCTTAGTATTATTTGCTCGTACGTATACAGGATTTAACTTGTGCCTATATTAGGAAGAAACAAAACAAAACTCTTTTTTTTTTTTTCAACAGAATCGTCGAACATGTCGATACGGTTTGCTCGTGCGCGAACACTTATATATAAATAAATATGTACCTAGGATAATAAACTTTACCCACCTGTGTTTCTCTCCTGTGCACAATAATTTTATTAACTCTATAACTTAATAGTTCAAAGATAGTAAATAAAAAAATAGAAAAATTATAATAATTATCAACAAAAAATAAAATACTCCCTTTAAAGTGGGGCCACTAGATAAAATATGCATACATAAAAAATTTCTAAATAATTCACAAATAGAAATCTCTAAAAAGTTCACAGTCAACTAACGCGACTAGTTGCTGCAAAGGCGCTTCGTAAATTAGTCTCTCGTCTCGCGATTCTCGCGGCCGGACAAATGAAGGGCTGGAGGGATAGCCGACTAATAGAGAACGTTCGACGCCTACGCAGACATAATGTTCACGCAAGACGTGTCAAGCGTCAAGCAACAAGTAGTAACCAATAGCGTAATATATACACGATGGCAATGGCAGTGGATTGATGTTTGATAGTGGCAGTAGATTGGTGTTTAAAGTTTCGGAGAGCTGACAGCGGCCGTCGCCGCGCCGTCAAGAAAATTCTCGGTCGCGTTTGCGAGGCCAGGGACATCGAATAATTTATGTTACTTATATATGTGAATAATTTATAATATGTAGCTAGTACTACTTCCTAAATTTCCTCCTCGTGTATCCCTGTCTCAATATCTTCACTGATCACTTGCCTTCGGCGTAATTTTTTAAATAAAAGATAAAAAAGTGACCAATAAAAAGAAGATGCAAGAAAAGAAAAGGATTTTATTAATTACTTCTTGAATATATAATAATAACAAAACATTTTTATTATGAATAAATTTATACACACTATCGACGGCGCGACACCGTAACTATGACTGATTCGTGAAGGACTTGCCGAGAACGGCAGGCAACTGATTTGTCCGACGCAAGCGCAGACATCCCAGTGAGCATTATTGATAGGATGAAATCTTTAAGAGGACTTTCTGAAGACCTAAATTAGTTTTTCTTAGAAATAATATCAATAATATAAAAACAGTTAATCTCGGCTCGAATTATTGTGTTACAATAAAAATAAAATCTCAACGGCAATCGGAGCCTGTGCGGACGACATGCACAAAATTAATAAATTAAAATGAGATCTCAAATCAAACTCATTTATTAAATTCTAAACGTTTCGACCCACTTCGGGTCTTCTTCAGTAGCTGCAAAATACAAAGAAACAAAAATAAAAGATAATCGGTACAAACAGAAAATTATAAAACTCATATACATACAATCCGCAAATAAATTAAATATCATTCTCCTCCCTATTCAAACCGTCCGGCCGTCGGAGCGTCTCCCTAACGGTGACCATCGTCAGGAAGGAAGCAGAGCAGTGACTCCCTTACCAACACTAATCAACATAGTATAGATTAAACGTAGAAAAAATTAAATTTTGAATCGCAGCATCCTCTCTGTCATAAAAAGGGCACCATTATCAGCCTCATTGATAGAGTTTTTTGGCTATCTCATCCGAAATTCCATAAAGGTAACTTTGAGTCTATGATTGGAGTTCTCTTGTCTAATAATTATCCTCTCAATTTGATATTTCAAACATTACAAGCGCGGTTAAAAAAGTTGTCATCAAAAACTCCAATCATAGACTCAAAGTTACCTTTATGGAATTTCGGATGAGATAGCCAAAAAACTCTATCAATGAGGCTGATAATGGTGCCCTTTTTATGACAGAGAGGATGCTGCGATTCAAAATTTAATTTTTTCTACGTTTAATCTATACTATGTTGATTAGTGTTGGTAAGGGAGTCACTGCTCTGCTTCCTTCCTGACGATGGTCACCGTTAGGGAGACGCTCCGACGGCCGGACGGTTTGAATAGGGAGGAGAATGATATTTAATTTATTTGCGGATTGTATGTATATGAGTTTTATAATTTTCTGTTTGTACCAATTATCTTTTATTTTTGTTTCTTTGTATTTTGCAGCTACTGAAGAAGACCCGAAGTGGGTCGAAACGTTTAGAATTTAATAAATGAGTTTGATTTGAGATCTCATTTTAATTTATTAATTTTGTGCATGTCGTCCGCACAGGCTCCGATTGCCGTTGAGATTTTATTTTTAATATCAATAAGTTATCTTTTTGAGGTGTCCGATTGTGGACTTTTGTCTTTTGGCAATCGATGCAGGCTCTTCGTGTCTATTGATGGCAGTCTGACTTAATTTTCGACCAAACGTAACGTTCCGCGTCCAACGTTGCTGTAGGTCTGGTTTCCGCATGTGCAGAGGTTGAAATATCTGTCTTCTGTACTCTTTTGTAACCCAAGACATAATGTTCATGCAGGACGTGTCAAGTGTCAAGCAACAAGTAGTAACCAATAGTGTAATATGTACGCGATGGCAATAGCAGTGGATTGATGTTCGATAGTGGCATTGTGACGATGTAATCGCCACATATGTGTACAAAAAAATGTGTACAAATCAATATGTTTATAATAATTTAAAAAATTAAAATAATAATTAAAATTAAATTACGTATTTCCAGAGAATTACTGTAGTGACTTCTCTTTTTTAAATTAATTAATATTAAATACTAATATTAGGAAAAATAAATCTAACCTATGGAGAAATAATATTAATATTACGAAAAATTATACTGATTTTAGAAAAAACAAAACAAATGATATAAAAAATAAAATTAATACTAATAAAAATAATACTAATATTAGGAAAAATGTATTTTTAGCAAGTTCTAAAGTATTAAAATTTAATATAAAACTGAGAAATTGGCGCGCGCGTAGCGCGCGCTTTTGTTTTAAATTTAAACGTAATTTTAATTTTTCAAAAAATGTTTGTTGTTAAAAACTCTAACTTTCATAAATTTTAATATATTGGAATACATTTTTTTATATAAATAAACTATTATTATAAAAATGGTTTTGAATTTGGCGATAATCGATGAAAAGGTTCATTTTTCATAAAAATTATCGAACGAAAACACGTATACAAATACGGTCACGCACACAAGCAAAAAGTACCGAGACATAAATAAATATAAATAAAAACATAACAGACGAGACAGTTAGAGACAAAAGACGAGAAGCACAGAGACAAATATCAAGACGATTAAGAAACGAAAGAAGTAAACGAATAGAAAATTCTCGAAGCCTCTCGAAGCCTATCGAAGGTCGATTTTGAGGCGAAAGACAGAAAGAGCGATTTTACATGCGAGAGATTCCGTTATCGACAGTCACCGCGTACGGACGTACATTGTTAATCCGAGCGAATTAATATTCATGTATCGATATTTCACGACTGTGCTTTCTGAATGAATATACTTTCATTTAATTATAAAAAAAAAAAAGAATTAAATAATGTGTTCGCGATTTTTAATTTTTTGATTTTTGTTCGCGATAAAATTTATATATACATGGTAACATTGACATGAGCCGCGAAACGCGAAAGAAAAAAACGAATTCGACGTGATCGAAAATTTGTATATATTCTGCGTTTGTAAATGTAAATTGACGAGAGTCCCAGACCGGGAGCGACGTGCGTTCGGGCAGACGAAACGATAAATTCATTGAAATTCGTTTATGTATATTGTATTGGGTTATCGACATTTAGTATTATTGTATTATTATATCATTAGGACGACATATTTATTCTTATTCTTTAGCGCTACGAATTATAACGGCGAGAAAAGAAAAATATTAGACTTCGTCTCGGTCTGCCATCAAAAAAAAAAAAAAAGGAAAAAGAAACTATCGCGGAAACGTGCAATTTTTTCGAGCATCATGCTATCGGTATAGCACAGGCCGCGGCAATCAAAGTTAACTAAGGTGAAAAAACACACATATACTCACGTTTTCTTCTCGTGTGGCACCCCTGCCTCAATGTCTTCTCTATTTGGTACACTTTTTTAAAAATATTTTTTTATTAAATAATAAACTAAACAGCCAAACATAAAAATAAACAAACAAAAAAAAAATTGTATTAATTAATTTTTGTATTGCTGTTAAAGATTCCAACATTTTTTAATATAACAAGTCACAGTTTACTTGATCGCACCGCGATCACACCGTAACTGTGATTGATTCGTGAAAGATTTGCCGGGAACGGCAGGCAACTGATTCGTCCGACGCAAGCGCAGACATCCCAGTGAGCATTATTGAAAGGATGAAATCTTTAAGAGGACTTTCTGAAGACCTACTTAATTAGTTTTTCTTAGAAATAATATCAGTAAGTTATCTTTTTGAGGTGTCCGATTGTGGACTTTTGTCTTTTGGCAATCGATGCAGGCCCTTCGTGTCCATTGATGGCAGTCTGGCTTAATTTTCGACCAATCGTAACGTTCCGCGTCCAACGTTGCTGTAGGTCTGGTTTCCGCATGTGCAGAGGTTGAAATATCTGTCTTCTGTACTCTTTTGTAACCCAAGACATAATTAATAAGAATATTTGTGAGTCAGCTCTCCTATTTTTTAAAAAACTCCATCTTCATCTCGACTAAGAGCCAAACGCGATGTTATTGCGACAAATTAAGATTTAGAAATTTTTGGAAACTGAGGAATTTGAAGACATAATGTTCATGCAGGACGTGTCAAGTGTCAAGCAACATATGGTAACCAATAGCCTAATATATACGCGATGGCAATGGCAGTGAATTGATGTTCGATAGTGGCATTGGATTGGTGTTTAAAGTTTCGGAGAGCTGACAGCGGCCGTCGCCGCGCCGTCAAGAAAATTCTGTTTTACAAAAGAAGGAGGTAGATTTACTTACTTCTTAAATTTCCTCCTTGTGTCTCCCTCGTCTCACGACGACCCTTTCCTCAATGTCTGTTTCGTGTTTACTTGCACATCTTTTTTTATGTAGATAAAAAATAAAATATCCAAGAGTTAACAAAATACAAAAATAAAAAAGAATTTTATTAATGTACTCCTCTTGTATGTATAACAAGGACAAAAACATTTTACAAATATAAATTTAAATTTATTTAATCACTATGCACTAACTTATTATTATTAGATTAGCTAAAACTGTCGAGTTATTCATATAAATATAAAAATATTTCAAGTGCGTACTCTATTTTGTCCAGTACTGTATATAGCTAAGTATATACTCACATTTCCTGCTCCTCGTGCCGCACCTCTGTCTTAATGTGACCGTTTCTCTCCGCACTATCTTTTTTTTATATTTTTTAATTAAATATAGAACTAAACAGCAGAACATAAAAATAAGCAAATAAATAATAAGAATTTTCTTAAATTCTTCGTGTATAACTATTAAAAGTGCAAACATTTTTACAGTTAAATATAAGTCACTATAGTATTAAATACAAGTCACACGTGACCGCGACACACTGCGATCACACCGTAACTGTGACTGATTCGTGAAAGACTTGCCGGGAACGGCAGGCAACTGATTCGTCCGACGCAAGCGCAGACATCCCAGTGAGCATTATTGAGAGGATGAAATCTTTAAGAGGACTTTCTGAAGATCTACTTAATTAGTTTTTCTTAGAAATAATATCAGTAAGTTATCTTTTTATATCAGTAAGGTATCTTTCAGAAAAGCTTTTTATGATACAATATTATATATAGATATTTCTAGAGTCTCTAGCAAGCGTGCTATTTTACGAACAGCGCACAATCGCAAGCCACATATGTCACGTGTGAATCGCGCGTGCTCTGAGCTTTGAGTTCTGGATTTCAAGGAGATAGCATTTACGTTCTTCGATATTAACGTTTGCAAAGTAATTTTTCTTTTTTAAATTATAAATATTTTTAAATTTGTATGTGCAAAAAGCACATTGCAATCATAGAATTTTATTTATACTGTAAGCGGCGCGTAAATAATTGCCGCGATACGCAATGTCCGGCGTTAGCGTCGTTTCCGACACCCGTGCGGTGCTGCCACCGTAGCGTATAGGGTGGCCAAAAGATATGCGCGCGCATGCGAGCGCGACCGCGGGCCGTAGGCCGTTAGATTCGAAGTCGAGGAGAACGACTCTCCTTTGAGAAGTGCGAACGAGCAGACGTATTATTAAATCGTGCGCATGAGAGTACTTTCGAGAAGTATCAAATTGTAGAAGCATTCCGATCTTTATTAAATCTTTATTCTTAAAATCAGTGTCCGTTGAATTTCACCTAACAACGCTCCAATCCTGGCGAGAACATTTTGCAGTGCGTACGGGCTCCTGTGGCATCCAATTCGCCTTTAAAATTTAGTCTTAAACATCGGTTACTCGAGATACAGAGAACATTCGAGAAGTTTCCAGACGAGGATCCAAAGGAAAGAGACTAACGCCTAACTCTCGAGTCATTTGAAAATAGAAACCCAGACTTTTACAATACTAAGTCTATGGGCATTTTAAAATTTATTTTTTAACATTCTCAGGATCGGATAGAATTTAGGACGTTTACATAGACTTTACAATAAAAAAGAATTTATATTATTGCAATGTGCTTCTTGCAGACATAATCCAACTATATAAATATGTAAAGATATAATACTACAAATAGGAATTCGTAACACTAACCTTTTTTGATATTTAAAAGAAGTCAGATTGTGGAATTCTTTTAAATGTCATTTATTTGCGATGTTTTTTTTTTCTAAAACCGATGCGTTAGTGTCAGTCCACAAGAAATTGATCAATCACAATCAAGTATTCTCCTCATACTTGACTGTGATTAGTCAATTTTTTAAGCCTTACGGCTTAAATCACCTATGTATTGTGGACCAGAGATTAGAGAACTATATTATATATATATATATATATATATATTCCTATGTCTATGGGCCTAATCCACTATTCATAATAATACAAACTTTTTATAATTCATTGGCATATATGAATGAGAACATGACATAAATGGACAAACAACTGTATAGTAAATAGTGTGCAGTAAATTCGTGCGATACAATCTGCGATTACACAGGTCAACACAAATTTTGATTTTGATAAGAGGATATAAAATTTCGATAGATTTATCGATAATTAGACGAAAAAATAATATATGGCCTGAAAAAGTTTGCTTTTGTATCCAGGAGAACGATTGATCAATATTTTAGAAAATCCATAGTTAAAATTTTTATTTATTGATAAATTGAAACAAATATATTTATATATAATTTTTATCAACTTTTACTATCATATCAAATTACAAAATAGTAGAAAAAAGTACGACAAATAATACCACTTATATTTATCGGTACCGAGATAAAAAGATAGGTATAGTCTAATGAAACACGCAACTTCCAGGCATCATCATATAGGCTCTTAACCAATCTCCACATCTTCTTCATGCCTACGAAAACACGACTTGTGGACTTCGGCTTAAAGAGCTTCTCCAAATTAAAGCTCTCTTTTTGATCTTCTCATACCTCATATCAGCCTTCGACAACTTGTGTGAAATATTCATAAAACTTTCCATCTGCACTACGGAACCGCCCTATAATCAAATAAATACAAAATATCAAAATTGGAAGGCTCGTATAAATTAAAAAAAATATTTAAACATAAAATAATATTTAAGCCAACTAAACGAGCAATAAAATTTTAGGGTGTTACTTGTTTATTTTATACTTTACACAGAGAGAAACGTTTCTTTGGATGTAGAATATGTGTTTGTTTGACTTATATTTGTTTCACTAAAACAAATATACTTTAATCAATACATTGTTGTATTGAATAAAAATTTGATTATTTCGTTACAGTAAATCATATTGTTTTACAAAAAGATAACTATTATTTGAAATAAACTTTAAGAACGTTTAATTTAAACAAGAATGTTGTTTGTTTCAAATAACTTGTTATTTGAAGTAATCAAAATCGATTATTTAATTGATTAATAATTATTATTTAAAATAAACATAAAATATGTTTGTTTCAAATAACTTATTATTTGGCTTGATCAAAACAGATTATCAACTGATTACTATTTGGGCGAGCGTGTAGCTTAGCTCGATAATTATTGTTCTATCAATATCGCGAATCGGGAGAGGATCGTTAAGACGGAATAGTTATTAGGAGTTATAATTATATTGTCTTTCACTGCGTTTATTCGGATTATATCAAATACAGACTTTAACTCTCCACCGAGGAAAACCGTGTATCGCGAGCGCGAGTCAAAATCTATCTGCCCTTCGAGGCCGCGTATTGTCTTGCTTCTCTCGATTTTTCCACGACCTTATTTTTATTTTTAGGTGATTAGCCTATCTGTTATTATGAAGAACTTTCGCTTTTTATTCTGTTCGGAAATCACAATCTACCTTCGTCATGCTAGACGCTTATTTATTTATTTATTATTTTGTGTCACCGGTCGCGATATCCTTAACACTCGTCGCTTGTCATATATTTTTATTTCGTGTAAATTTTTTTAGAGGACATTACACGTGATTTGGATGTCACTCCATCATATACAGCAATTAACAGTCTCCGTAAATTCATTAAAGTACACAAGGATAAGTTACCAAGGGAACTCCATAATAATGTAGTTTATAAAATTGATTGTATGGATTGTGATGCGTCGTACGTAGGGCAGACAGGTAGATTGTTGAAAACTAGGATGAAAGAACATCGCAACAACATAAAAAGAAACGCGTCACAATTATCAGTCATATCGGAACATAGATTATTGAACCATGAATTTAATTGGGAGGATGTAAAAGTCTTAGACAAGGAGCCTTTTTTAGGTAAACGTTTGATATCCGAAATGATCCACATAAAACGTCAGAAGAATAGTTTAAATTTACATAGCGACACTGATAAATTAAATGAGAATCTTGATTTGTTAATAGAAAAATTTACCAAAATCTAGCTTTGTGATTTTACATAGCCGGGTTTTTTTGTTAGACTTTTGACATGAGTGCCGATTAGTTTAGTTGTTTTTATTTTTATTTTTATTTTCATATTTTATTTTTATATTTGTTTTTGCGTATATATGTATCGACTGTGTCGAGGTAGAATACCGCACAGTCGTTAGAGTGATGTGTCACGTGTAGCATCGTCTTCTCTCTGTTTTTACTGTCGGGGTGAGTGTTCTTCCCGGTTTTTAATTTTTAATTCTTGTGAATTGTTCTACGTTTAATTTATACCATGTTGATTAGTGTTGGTAAGGGAGTCACGGCTCTGCTTCCTTCCTGACGATGGTCACCGTTAGGGAGACACTCCGACGGCCGGACGGTTTGAATAGGGAGGAGAATTATATTTAATTTATTTGCGGATTGTAGGTATACGAGTTTTATAATTTTCTGATTGTACCGATTATCTTCTACTTTAGTTTCTTTGTATTTTGCAGCTACTGAAGAAGACCCGAAGTGGGTCGAAACGTTTAGAACTTAATAAATGAGTTTGATTTGAGATCTCATTTTAATTTATTAATTTTGTGCATGTCATCCGCATAGGCTCCGATTGCCGTCGATATTTTATTTTTATTGTAACACAATAATTCGAGCCGAGATTAACAGTTTTTTTATAATTTTATAAATTATAAAATAAAAAAATTTTTAAATCATATGCACAAAAAAACAATAAAAACACTAATAATTATAACTAAAAAAATAAAGGTCCCTTTTAAAATGGGGTCACTGGGTTAAAAAACGTACATGATTAAAATAATAATAATAATCCCATACAAATTTATTAAAATTTCGACCTAACTGGCCAGTACAATTTATTAGAAACACTACGTTTCGACCCTTAGGTACGGGTCCTTTTCAAATGTAACTACACAATAAAAATATACAATGATTAAGATACGAAACAATAATTTACAAAGTTATTAACGAAGAAATTTAAAATAATATAAAAATAATGTAATGTACCTTTCAAGATGTTGATTAGACAGCAGTAAAATTACTAATGTTAAACCGGAGACAAGTAAATCAATTTAAGTCAAACGTTAAAAACATAATAATATCAAAGTTCGACAATACAATGAAAAAAATAAATAAATAAATAATCATATACTGTGGATCAACTTATCATAAATCGGATTTAGATTATCTGTGTCCTTTTGCAAATTAATGTTATTCTTATATTTTTTAATAAAAAACATCTTTGCTAATTCTCTCTTTCTTCTATGTTTTTCGCAATTCAAAATTCTAGGTTACATCGACTTAAAATTATGGTCATATTTTATTCGATGTTTGCTAATTACGTTAAAATTGAAAGGTGTTACGGATTATTAAAAGTGCACAAGAAGAGCTATCCTTTACGCATTATTGTCTCTTCAGTAGGTAGCCCCACGTATAATGTAGCGCAATATTTACGGGAAATTTTGTCAAATTCAATTCTTAAGCCTAAATCGTATGTTAAGAATAATTGGACGTTTGTTGAAGCTATTAGACACACGAAGATCAATGACGACCAGTTTTTATTTTTATTAAATGTTTCATCGAACATCCCTAAAGATTTAG